GGGCACGATGCTCTCGAGGTCAGATCTGGGACACAGTGGAGGATGTGTCTATTTATTTTGTATTGTTTTTGCCTTGTTTTCAGTTATAACCAACGGCACCGCAGTGAGCATTCTCACACACATATCTTGGTAATCTTTGGTCTGTGTAATTGTAGGGCAAATTCCTAGCTATGGGACATGCATGTATTTCACAAATAAGTGAAATGTGGTAGCTGTTGCTCAAGTGACATTCCAAAACGTTGCATCAATTTATGCACCCGTGGTAAGAGGGCCAGTGTTCTCACACCTGGCTAGCATTTGAATTTTACTCAGCCTGAAGGGTGAAAAATGGTATCTCATTTTAAAAAAAAAACAAACCTCCTTTTTAAAAGAATTGTAAATGAGGCTGAACACTTTTTGTATGCTAATTTAGTCATTTGTATCTATTTCTCTGTAAAGTGTCTGTTCACACCCTTTGCCTGCTTTCAGTCAGATTGATGGGCTTTTCAAAAAATTGATTTGCATTCATACTTCATAATAAAAAAAATCTCCATTTCATATTTGCTCCAAATATTTTACCCAGTTTGTCACATATTTTGGTTTTATTTGTAATTTTTTTGTTACATGAAAGTTAAACATTTCTATGTGATGATATGAACCAGAATATGTCTTATGGTCTATTTTTTTGTTTCAAGCTTGGACCTGTCAATTGTTTATTTTGATGTAAAGAGTAAAGCAGGGATTCAGTTTCATTTTCTCCAAAGACTTAGCTGTCTCTCCATCATTTATTGAATAGTTTCTAATTTCCCCCATTCATTTGAAATACCAATTTTATTATAAATTAAATTCTATGTGTAATTAAGTCTATATATGAGCCCTTTATTCTGTTCTATTCTTTAGTACAATTTATTTTTACCATCATAGCTTGACAGTGTATGTTAGGGATAGTTCTGTCTATTCTATCAGTCTGTTACTCTCTTTTTCAGAAATTTACCTGGGTTATTCTGTATGAGCATTTTTCCAGATAAATTTCACGTCTCAATAAGTTTCAAAACAATCTTTTTGATATTATATTTGGAAACTCCTGACTACAGCAATAACTCTAAGGAAAAAAATAGAAATTTTCAAATTTTTGACTTACTTGTATTTTAAAAAGGTTTCTTTGTATTGATTCTGCACAATTCCTAGCTTATTACTAGGTATTTAATCTTTTTAGTTGCTATTATACATAGGAGATTTTCTTCCATTATGGTTTATTATTGGTTATTATTTCCATAGAAAAGCTACTAATTGTTATATATCAGTTGTGTAACTAGTCACCTTATGAAATTCTTTTTAAAATTAGTTTTCTTATTAAAATGTGGTTTGCATATTGCAAAATTCACCCTTTTAAAGTGTACAGTTGATTCAGTACACTTTAATATTCATAACGTTGTGTAACCATCACAACTAATTCCATACCATTTTTGTCACTCCAAAATGAAACTCAGTGTGCATCAGCAGTCATTCCCACCCACACCCACCCCTGTCCACGCCCCCCCGCCCCTCGCAACCGCTCATCTACTTTCTGTCTTTGTGTCTGTTCTGGCCAAAATAGACTCACAGAACATGTGACATTTTGTGTCTGGCTCCTTTCACGTAGCATAATGCTTTTGAGGTTCATTCATGTTGTGACATCAGTCAGTATTTCATTCCTTTTTATGGCTGAATAATATTCCATTGTTTGGATAGGCCACTGCTTATCCATTCATCAGTAGAAGGAAATCTGGATTGTTCTCACTTTTTGGCTGTTACGAATGACGCTGCTATGAAGATTTGTGTACAAGGTTTTGTGTGGACATACGTTTTCATTTCTCTTGGGTACATACACAGGAGGGGAACTGCTGGATCTTAAAGTGTCTCTGAGTTTAACTTTTTGAGGAACTGCCAAACTGATTTCCAAAGCACCATTTTACATTCCCACCAGCAGTGTATGAAGGTTCCAATTTCTCCATATTTGTGCCAACACATTTTTTTATTGTCTGTCTCTTTGACTAGAGTGGGTGTGAAATGGCGTTTTTTTGTGGTTTTGATTCTTATTCTGTAATGACTAATAATGTTGAATATCTTATCATGTGCTTAACTGCTCTTTGTAGATCTTCTTTGTAGAAGTGTCTATTCAGATCCTTTGCCTGGTTTTTGATTGGGTTATTTGTCATTTTATTATTGAGTTTAAGAGTCCTTTGTATATTCTAGATACAAGTTCCTTGTCAGATATGTGATTTACAAAATATACATATGTCCCGAGCCAAGCCAATTAGAATCCACCTTGGAACTTTCCTACTGAAACTGGGGAGAGACATTCTTTCTTTCTCTTGCTACTCACTAACTTTAAATATGAATTAAAGGTGAGCTTCTTGTGGTCATCTTTTCCAGTTACAAGGAGAAAGCCACCTGTAGTTGGAGAAAATGAGGCCAGCGTGGAAAGAGTGGAGCTAAGTCACGGCAAATGAGTCAGTTCTGATCTTGTTAAGCTCTGGTCTCCAGCCAGACCTGAAGCAAAGCTACACCTGGACTTTTCAGATATGTGAGTCAATAAAAAAATTCCTTTTATATTTTTCCTTAAGATGGTTTGAATTGAGTTTTATCTCTTCCAATAAAAATTCCTGGGCAGTCTAGGAAATCTGCGCATTTCTGTTCTACTAAGGGTTATTTTCGTTTTAAAAATCAAGAAAGCCCTCCACTAAATGAATAAACCTAATTACCTCCCTCCTTATCTCCCCGCCAAAAAATCAAGAATGCGTATTGGAGTTTGTAAAGTGCCTGGCTGAGGTAGTCTCATGCTTTCTCTCCTTTGATCTGTTAATATCATGTATTATACTAATAGACTTTGTAATACTGAACTAGATATTTATTCCAACGATGGGCCCACCTGGTCACTGAAGATTATTCTTTCAGTGTGCTACTAAAACATATTTGCTGACTTTGAAAAAAAAATTAGGTCAATATTTGTAAGTACAATTTGTGAATGAGGAGGGATCAGAGAACTGACGGCCCTGAGCCACACCCAGGTGGTCGACACATTTTGTTTGGGCTTTCGATATTTCAAAACTGGAGGAGTTAAAAATAAAACCCCAGCTTTTCTTGAAAAACCAGGATGATGCAGTGAACCTGAGTCCCTGTATGGAAAAGACTGGGGATTGGAGTGGTGGCCACCTTTAGACTGGACATGCTGTCCAGTCCCCAGAATCCAGCCCTCACAAATGTGCACTCCGTGTTTTCAGTTAGTCAGCGTCACACACTTTAGTCACCTGCCTGGTCTGTGAGGTCATTTAAATTTGTAACTCCTCTAAGTTTACTTTTTTGTACCGTCCTTTTCAGGTATGCATGGCTCTGGAATGGAATGATGTGTTCTTTGGAAGGATGAACGAATTCACCTGTGAATACACTGGGCCTTGGTGCTTATTATTAGCATCTCTTTTATTTTTTTCCAGAACTTTTCCGCTTCCCAACTTGTCTGAGCCTGCCCGCCTGCCCATCCTCGCTGCAGTCTGAGAATAGCTCACAGTGTCCTCCGCCTTCCTGTGGCCCCTCCACGCGGGAAGGGAGATGTCAGAGAGTTTGTGGGCAGCCTTGCCTGAAGGCATGGACTTGGCTTTGATCTGAAATGTTTACTGAACCGTTCCAGGGCTCACTCCACAAGCAGGAGGGTGTGCATCTGTTTCCTGGCAGTGGGAGACCCATCTTTGACCTTCACATCATTTTCCCAACTCAGCTGTGAGCCTGGAGACTGATCTGGCAGCCAGCAGACCTCTTTCCAGTTCCACTGGCTGCCCAGTTACTGAAGTGGTAAGTCAGGGCTCCTACTGGCAAGGGTTTTTGCACATTTTCCCCAGGCTATGCAATCACTCGCCCAGGGCAACTTCACTCCACATTGGAGGATATTAGTTAGAATTCCCAAGCTCCTCTCCAACCCACCCAGCTTCCTTCCTCTCTTTCCCACCAGCTTGGAAGGCAGAGAAGGTGGGATTTATGCTTCATTGCACCAGCATCTTCCATTTTTCCCTTTGTCATCATTTTTGGAAATTTGTGGTTTCCAAAGTTAAGGAAACCCGAGTTTGTGGGAATTAGTGTAAAGGCCAACAGACGATCATAAATGCTTTTCGTGGTGGAGATGCTCCCTGCGTTGGTCTGGAATCAGTGAAGGAAAGTTGACTTGTAGAGTAATCTATAGCAGTGACTTTTAGTCATCCTATAGCCACCTGAAACTATTTATTTAGATAAATATGTAGCATTTTAGACAAAGGATTTTGTAAAATGTGACTCAGTTGCAAAGATTCATGTCTGCTTGAGAAAGAACCTGTGAGTCTCTGAGGATGGAGTAGGGAAGAAGGAATCTTGGCTACTTCTGAGATTGGATCACATCTTACGCTTCTGCGGCCACTGTAGCCAGAAAGTACAGTTCTGAGACCAAATGTTCAAGGACCAGTGACTGTATAAACATGGGCTGTGACTGAGGGGAATTGTGCTAGACATCTATTGCTTTTGTCTGCTCAGCCCTTTTCTTTGTTATATGGTAACAGAACTTGACTTCACGGCCAAAAAGATGGACACATGATCCAAGCCAGGGAAAACAAAGTCATCTTATGGGATTTTTCAGATGGGGTCTGGAAGAGAGAAGCCTGATTTTCTTAATGTCAGAGTGCTGTGGTCAATGTGAAAAGTGAATCAGAAGGGAATGAAACCAACATCGGGAGGCTCGAGAAGGAAACAGAGTTCAGGGTTCTACTCATTTCTGAAGCCGGCTCCACCCTGCCTTTCCCATGATTTGACTATTGACTTGATAAATTCCACTCTTGACTAAGCTCATTTGAATTGGGTTTGGAGAATCTGCAGAGTCCTGATGAGGCGGCCTACTCCTCGGGGACGGTTGTGAGAGGTTGCATGTAATCACAAATTTCACATTGGCTCCACACCTCTGATTCCTAAAGGATTTAAGTCATTGCTTTGTCATGGAAGATTTTAGAGCAGATTCTCTGAGTTAGAATTTCAATGTGACTCCTATTGCTTTAGTGAGCATGGTTTTTTATTTTTGATATTTGAATTAAAAAAATGGTTATTAAGGTGAATGCTTGAGAGAACAAGGGAGCAGATAAAGAAGGGGTTTGTTCAGAGTTCCCCTGAACACAAGGATCCCAACATATAGTAAGTATTGGTGATGTCAGGGTGCTGGATCTGGGAAGACCCGGGAAGGAGCTAGTCTGCTTCGTTTAAAAACCATTGCAAAACTGCAGACCATCCATGAAGACCCAAGCCAGCCCTGCTCCTCATCACTGGCTGAGGAATCCCTCAAGGTCACCTAGGCCTGATGACCTTGCCCTTCGTCCTTGCCATGTGTATCTTTACTTGCTATTCCCCTAAATCTTGAGCCGAGTGGACAGGAGCAGCTCATTTCAACAGCATTAAGAGTCATGTGACTGGGCAGGGAAGTGAGGGTGTGGCACCACTGACAAATACCCTCTTTACTAGAACGGATCTGGGAAGAGATTTCTCCCACTGCCTGAGTCTCCTGACTCAGGAGTAGCAAGTGGCCCTTTAGCTATTGGCAGGGCAGTACTCATGAACTGGCAGGGTAGGCCAACCAATTTGGGAAAGATAGAGTCATGCAGTCCCTCTTTTTTTATTATTTACATTTAACTCTACTTTATCTCATTCTAAAACTATGCAATGAATATAGTAGCAGGTACCATTTTTGAACAGCCAGTATATGGTAGGCCCTTTCTGTACACATTACTACTCCTCGTTGTAATCTTGAAGAGTTGTTTTTATTATTCCTGGTTTGCAGTTGAAGAAACCAGCTGAGCCTTAAAGTTGTGAAAACTTACCCAAAGTCTCATTCTAGGAAGTGGCAGAGCAGAGATTTGAACCCAGGTGGTCTGGCTCCTACCCAAGGTCCTCTGTACTTTTCCAGTGGTCCTCTCTTTTGGGGAGCTTTCAAATAACCCCAGTGCTGAGGCCCCACCCTAGACCAATAAAACAGATTCCATGGGAGGTGGGACCAGGCAGTGACAGGTTTTGCAGGCTCTCTAGGTGCTTCCAGTAGGCTCGCTGGGTTAAGAGCCATTGTGTTGTGCCATGCTACCTTCCTTCAATGCCATTCCCAGTTTCTCAGAGTCATCCTCGTCTTCTCTTTCTCCTTTTTACTGTACTTCCAACCCCTTAGCATATCCTGTTGGCCTTACCTTCAGCATGTGCTGAGAACTGCATGCTGCCTGCAGCCTCCACTGCTACCATCTTGTATGCTTCCCTGGCTGGACCATTCAGTTGCCTCCTTTCTGATCTTCCAGTTTCTATCTTTGCCCTCCTAAGGCCATTGTCAACAGAGCAGTCAGAATGATTCTTGTAATATATGTCAGACCATGTCATTCCTTGCTCAGAACCCTCTGATGACTCCCTTCTCCTCAGAATAAAACCCAAAGTCATTTCCAGAGTCTACAACATCTTTTCTGATCTGGCTCCCCTGCTCTCTGACCTCAAGTCCTACCAATTCTCCTCCTTACTTACTTCCCTGCAGCCAAACTGGCTTCTTAGCTAGTGCTGAAATAAGCTAATAGTCTTCTGCCTCAGGGCCTTTGCACTTGCTCTTTCCTCTGCCTAGCTCAGTCTTCCCCTTCCTTGAAGCTCACTGATTCAGTTCCTTTGTGCCTTTGCTCAAATGTCCCTTTATCCAAGAGGCCTTCCCAGACTACCCATCAAAAATAGCATCCCCTCCCCTTCCTCATGGCACCTGATACTACCTAATGCATTTGTTTTATATTTTTTTGTCTGTCTTTCCTTGCTTGAATGTCAGCTCCATGAGAACAAGGACTTAGTTTTGTTTATTGTCCCATCCCTAGCACCTGAAAGGGGTTATTTGTAGAATGAATGAAAAAAAATAGAATGTAACATTTTCTTTTTTATTAAGCTTTTTTGGGGGGAGGTAATTAAGTTTATTTGTTTGTTTGTTTATTATTTTTAATGGAGGTACTGGGGATTGAACGCAGGACCTTGTGCATGCTAAGCACGCATTCTACCACTGAGCTATACCCTCCCCCGCTTAGAATGCAACATTTTCTAATGCAAGAAATAAGAATAGGAAATTAGACTAAGAAAAATAAAATGAAGCTGTGGGTAAAGCCAACGTCCAGAATATGTTCCATGTATCTTACGTGTTTTGTTCGAGGGTTGAATGCAAACTTGACTTTTGGCCTTATAAGCAACCAAGGTAAAAAGGAAAACAGCATTAAACAGCCATAAGAAACCCAGAAGCCGACTACACAGGTGAAATCCAGACATTCTTAATACTAAGATCTAAGACAAATGACCAGTGTGGTCCTCAGCAGAGGACACAGTGTGAGAAGGTGGGTAATTGCCCTACAATAAATACGAGGAACTTCACAAATTCTCTGAGTGAGAATTTCAGTCTGACTCTTATTGCTTGATTGAGGGAAATACTCTACTTGCTGTTGACAATATTGAAATATTTACATTAAATTTTTAGCTAGCTGCCAGATAGAATTTCAAGGTTCCTGAGATAGCCAGGCCTCTATCCAATTAATCTGAGCATCAGGACAGTG